GAGGCGGCACTTAGAGCCCTCCCTGAGGGCACTGCGCCGTCACCCCAGTCCTAGGCCTTCAGTTGGGTTTTATAAAACCTTTTCGCTTTAGGCCTCCGCCGCCATGTGCAAAAAAAAAGAAGAAAAAAGGTTCAATTAGTCAATTTCAACTTCTCGCTAAAAAAAAAGTTGGAATTGATTAAACTTTTTAGTCCCACCCTATCCCACTGTAGCCATGCCCACCCAATGGACCACGCCTACCCGGCACTCAACAATGTATAAGTGGGTTTTGGGTTGCAGTTTGGGCACTCAATCTCTAAAAGGTTCGCCATCACTGGTATAGGGTTTCCTGCTTGAGCAGGGGGTTGGACTAGAAGACCTCCAAAGTTAACCTGATCCTTCTGGTTTTCCAATGATGACCCCATCAGCTGCTGTAACTGAGTCCATTCACTTTGTTAATGGTTGCCCTCTTCTTCCTTTTCTTTCCACCTTTCCCAGCGTCAAAACTTTCTCCAGAAAGCTCAGTATTTAGGCTCTTATGAATGCCAAGGGCATTTTTTTTATTGCTGTGCATACGTCTGCTCTCCTAGGGAAGGAAGGGCGGGACAGCCAGAATTCTAAATGCACAAACAACTCCCTTGAGACTTGTAGAAGTAATTGTATTGTTGCTTTTTTTCAGAATACATGCCTTCCCTGAAACTCCCTCAAAGCATTTTGAGCCGTTCAAACTTTGTGGACATGGTTGCCAATTCAACACAGAAAATTTAGGTCTTCTATTGTAATATCACACCAATTTCCTAGGTTTAATCCAGCAGCAGGAGAGCTAATTCCAAGAAGGGGGTGCATTAAGGGGGATTTTCTCTAATTTTGAACAATAGCAACCTTCCTCTTTGGAAGTAGCGTTAAATGCCCTTCCTTTGTTTGCTTCCAACTTAAATCTTGTGGGTAATGGTTAGAGATTTACTATTTCCACCATAAATTATATTTTGCTGGCAGTTTCTGCAATTTACAAAACGAAAGTGGCACATTGCTGACGGATGATGCCTTGATTTGGCCTACATGAGAATCAACGTTGCCAAGAGAAAAGATGAACTAGGTAGGAATACTAATTAGGTGGGACTGTATTGCTACTTTTTCATACAAGTTGCAGCTGTTGGTCCAATATACCTGGACAGTGACAACCTGGGAAAATACCTGGCGTAGTTTCTTCCTACCGTCTGCCAACAAATTTTGGCAGAAGTGCAAAGTGTATTCCTCGGGTCTTTCATGGACAACAATTAAAAAACGAAAATTAGAATATTTCGGACATGTGATGCGACACCCAGAAAAATACGGCATACTCCATTTAATCCTCCAGGGAAAGATTGAAGGCAAACGAGGTCCAGGCAGAAGAAGAACATCGTGGCTTCAAAATCTAAGGGACTGGTTTGGACAAAACTCAGCAGCACTTTTTCGTGCGGCTGCTGATAAAAACAAGATCGCCAACATGATTGCCAACGTCCGATAACGGATATGGCACAAAAAGAAGAAGACTCATTCATTAGGTCCTGAGCTGATTTTTTTAATGACCCAAAGCTCTCATTAATCTATTATCTTCAAAAGTTTGGTGTGCTGTCTTTTCTAGAATGCAATAACAATTAGACTTACATACCACTTCATAGTACTTTACAGCCCTCTCTAAGCGGTTTACAGTCAGCCTATGGCTCCCAACAATCTGGGTCCTCATTTTACCGACCTTGGAAGGATGGAAGGCTGAATCAACCTTGAGCTGGTCAGGATTGAACTGCAGGCAGCCAGCAGTCAGCAGAATTAGCCTGCATAACTGCATTCTAACCACTATGCCACCAGAAAGACTGCTGGTCAAGGAAAGGGACACTAAACCTTTCACTAGGCTAGGGGGAAATTATATTTGTGGATGGCTGAAGCCTTCTTTTTCATTCATGTTTTATTGGCAGACATCAGGGAGCATTAGAATAGATTAAGAGTTGGAAGGGCGCTTGGAGATCTTCTAATCCAACCCCTTGCTCAAACAGGAGACCCTATACCAGGGGTCGTCAAACTTGACCCTTTTATGACTTGTGGACTTCAACTTCCAGAATTCCTCAGCCAGCGTGCCTGAGGAATTCTGGGAGTTGAAGTCCACAAGTCATAAAAGGACCAAGTTTGAAGACCCCTGCCCTCTACGGTTTTAGATAAATGGTTGTCCAGTCCCTTCTTAAAAGCCTCCAGTATTGGAGCACCCACAACTTCTGAAGCCAAGATGTTCCACAACTAAAACTGAAACTGTGAGTCGTCCAATCTGCAATCTGAAACGGTCCCTTCCAGAAGGAGCCGTGTGCCATAGATGATTTGGGAGGCCCATTACAGGTAGTCTTTGACTTACAACAATTGGGATCCGTCCTTCTAAAATTAATGGGTAAGAATTTCACGTTACTCAAAAATAACTATGTAAGGGCAGGAGGGCACCCCTTGCACAACCCTCCTCTCCTTTATTCCCTTTCATGGCGCTTTTGAGATCTGAACTATTTCTGTCCGAGGACAGTAAGAGCATTTTAGACTGCATGCGGATTCTTAAAATACATCTGGAAAAATTCCCTAAAACAGCCCAGGCTGGCAAAAAAAACCTTATTTCTAATGGATCAGAGAACAGGGTTTTACGCAGCCCATTGAATGCATTAATACTACTGTGGTGCTGGGTGGGGAATTGGATTACTCTTACCCATGCATGAATGAAAAAAAGGAACCCTTTCCAAAAATAGTCTGCATCAGTTTTTTTTTTTACTGCTGGGGTGGGAAGCAGGAATCGACAGCCAGATAAATTGAGATTAACACCAAGATTTTATTTAATTACTAGCTGTATCCGGCCACGCGTTGCTGTGGCTCATTTAACAATGCAATCGGAAACATTGAAATGGAATCGTAAAATTGGAAAATCGTAAATGGATCATAAATCGGAAACATTGAAATGGAATCGTAAAATCGTAGCGTGTTGCTTTTACGTCCAACAGATGGCGCTGTTTTTCAAAAAAGCATGTTTTTACCTGTCACAGGTGTGACATCTATATAATAGTAGGTATATAAAAACACGCGCGTATTCGAATGCAACGTTGTGTCAAAATTTCAAAGCAATCGGTGAAGAACTTTCAGAGATTTAAGATTTTGAACAAACGAACATTTACATTTTTATTTATATAGAAGATATTTCAGATTTCTAAACCTCCTTCTCTTATTACTAGACCAAAAATCAAACAGTAAACAACACTGTTTACTGCTTGATACAATTCCCCAATCAAGGAACTACCTACTCAGACAAACAGTAAATACAGCCTAAGGAACCACCAAGACACTCCTACAATATTGCCAGGGTAGGTTGCTTGTATGTAAATAGAGCAAAACTTACTCCCTTCTAGCACTGATCATGTTACCTAGTTTTATTTATTTATTTTATTTATTTATCGCATTTATACCCCGCCCTTCTCCTAACGGACTCAGGGCGGCTTACAGCCAGTTAAAACAGATAACTAATACAATAATACTAAATTTAAAATGTGATTAAAATGAAATATTCATTATTGGCCGTTTCTATTTTAAAATTATTTAAAACCAAATTAAAATTCCCCTTAGGCCAGTC